AGCCAAGAGCCAGAAAACAAACAAAAAAATCAGGTCCGTATAATAATGCCTTAAGATACTTATTAATGTATAATTGATACACAGTGAATTGCACATACAGTATAAAAATTATTAAGTTTGACACATGGATACACCTAGGAGCCCTGGTGGTGTAATGGTTATGTGTTGGGCTGCTGACTGAAGTTCACAACCACCAGGTACTCTGTGGGTGAAAGATGGGTCTTTCTTATCCCACGAACAGTTACATTCTTGGAAACTCAAAAGGGTTTTTCTGTTCTGTAGGGCAGGAATAAGTCGGCATCGACTTGATGGCAGTGAGTTTGGTTTTATGAGATATCTACACTCATGAAGCCATCGTCACAATGCAGATACTCCACTTCTTCTTCTGTACAGTTAAGCGTCACTCAATGTCCATAATACATGATGTGAACTTTGTACAAACACCATATGAAAACCTTCTGAGAGCTGGCTTCTGGTCGTCCTTATTGCCTCTGCTGCTGCCCCTGTGTGAGGGGCCAGAGGAACCAGGGCAGCAGTGGTTGAACAGATCAGAAGGAAGTGTATAGGGAGGTAGCAGTGAGCCCAGCCTAGCTGCCCAGACCAGCTTCCTATGCCTTACCTGCCTGTATCCATCCCCCTCATGACCCATAGCTGCAAGAGTGTGGATCTGGGTCTCTAAAACCACTAATAGCAAATAACAGACAAAAGAAACATCGCTTTCCCTTTAAAAATCAAACATTAGGGGACCAAACCCAATTCGCTGTATAAGCTTTCACCCAATCACAATGAAAAAAACCCTGTGAAACCTCAGACATATATGCAGTCTGCATGGGCAGTAAGTGACACATACCTAAAATAATGTCTCCTCTCTTGTCCCCTCCTGCCCTACTCACACGCCGGGTGACTACAGATCTCTGCCTTTTTGCAATTGCAGTGATTTTACACATTTTGATGTATACAACTTGTATTCTTTTTTTTGAGCCGGCCTCGCAGCAGAATGTGAAGTTTGTGCATGTGGTGTGTGTTGACAGCCCATGCCTGGGTCTTGTGGAGAGAGGGCTTGTCCAGTCCCCTGCTGCTGGGCTTTAGAGACCTTTCCTCTCTCGACTGAATTGCCTGTGGCGTTTTTGCTGGACGTGCGTTGTTCCTGGCTGGGCAGATCGGTTTCTGAGTTCTGTGTTCCTTTCCCCTGATCTAGTCGTCTCTGTCCACACCTGAGTTCTGACTTGATCACAGTTACTTTATCATCATCATAATTGAAACTTTGAAAACTTACCCCTCTGGTTTTACTCTTCTTCACTTCTCCAGTCTTTTTGCATTTTTGTGTGGATTTTAGAATCTGCAAAAAGAGAGGACTTTGAACAAATGCTACATCTTCATCTTAACCTTCTTTGCATTTCCATATGGTTTTGGGGTCTGACGGTCAATTTCAACAAATAGATGAGAACTTGGAACTGAACACCCCAAACTACTCTCATAGGAGAATTTTAGTTCTCAAAACCATCCTAGAGATGAACACCCATGCATTTTGTTAGTCTCCCAGGATAAATCAAAGGTGGTTTATGTGTGCACAGTATGAACTCACCCAGAAGGCCAGCCTTGAAGAGTTGATGGCAAAAGCTGCATTTTACAGCTCTGGCACTGCTTTCTCCCACGAGGACTGTTCTATCGGAGATTGTGGTTGTGTGGAGGGCTGCACGTTGTTTCTTTCCCTTGGATCAGCTCCTGGAAGTCTGGCCACTGTGTCACTTCTCATCTGCATCCCTGGGCTTTGTAACTGGGAATGCCCTTCTTTCTACTTGGCAAAGAAAAAAAAAAGTCTTGTTTTGAACACAGGAATTTGTACTTCTCTTTGTTTAGCTTGGAACATTTGTCAATGAAGTGCTATAACAAGACATCTATTGTATACCAATATGTAGCCTTGTAGCCTTAAACATTTCTCTCCTTCCTCTTGCCTAAAAGAGACACTGTAAAGTAATGCACATCCCCTTCTTTTCTGGACCGGTGGGTCAGAGGGCGGAGGGAGGTCCAACTCCTCACCTGGTACGCTGTGAGCAAAACTTTGTGGTGCCCAGGAGCTCTGGTGGCCCAGTGGTTACTAACTGGGCTGCTAACTGCAAGGTCAGCAGTTCAAAACCACAGAAAGAGAAAGACAGAGCTTCCTACTCCCATAAAGAGTTACAGAAACTCACTGGGGCAGGTCTGCCTTGCCATAGAGGGTCGATATGAGTCAGCATTGGGTCAATGGCTCAGTGAGTTCGATGTGTTGTTGTTTAGTGGGACAGGCTAAGTGCTCAACTGCTAACCAAAAGGTCGGTGGTTCGAAATTACTAGCCATGCCTTGGAAGAAAAGACATAGGAATCTACTTCCGTAGATATATTTCAGCAGGGACAGTTCTACCCTGCCCTGTGGGGTCCTGTGAGTTGAAATCAACAGCCAGCACCACAAGAATAAAACTCTGAAAATAGCTGATTTTGAAATACAGTAGTCTCCATTCGTGGGTTGCAGAGGGCAAAAAGCTCACAGAGCAACTGGGGAAAGACAGCTTGGTGCAGTCACACCTCGCCTCTGCATTTCCCTTTGTAGGACAGGAGCGTATGGACCTACCTGCTGGAGATGCAGCACTAGGATTAGAGGTGGTGGGAAAGGCAGTGCAGGACCTCAGAGTCAGGGCTTGCTCCGTCCTCCTGACCGCCAACCGAGGCTGAGACTGCCACACAAGTGCCCGAATACGCATTTGCATCCTGGTTATCTCATTTGCGTTTTAATTTTTGGTGTGGAAATTTCCAAAGAGGCACAGAAATAGCATAGTAAAGTGAGAGCCCAGAGAGCCAGCCCTCCGATTCAGAAATGATCAAGATTGCACCCTGTTGGCTTCATCTCCCCTCTCTCTGCCTTTTGGGGGGCCGAGGAAGCTGCAGTGTCCAACAGGAAATCTCAGGCCTTCTGTCCTCTCATGCCTCTGGATTTCAGAGGGCATTTCTGACAGGGGGCCATTTCCCCTTCACCCACTGCCAACACAGGACCCTCCCAACAATGCCGGACCCACTGCCGCCAAGTTGATTCCAATGCACAGCGACCCTCTATGGCAGCGGTTCTCCACCTGTGGGTCGCGACCCCTTTGGGGGTCTAGCGACCCTTTCACAGGGGTCACCCGATTCCTAACAGTAGCAAAATGATGGTTATGAAGTAGCAACGAAAATAATTTTATGGTTGGGGGGGTCACCAAAACCAGAAAAACTATATTTTTTTTTTTTTTGAGGAACTGTATTAAAGGGTCAAGGCATTAGGAAGGTTGAGAACCACTCCTCTATAGGGCCCCTGAGACACTATTTTCACAGGAGCAGACAATCTGATCTTTTTCTCAAGGAGTAGCTGATAGGTTTGAACCCCTGACCTTGTGATTAGCAGCTGACTTCCTAACCCACAGTGCTAGGTGATATTAGCAAATGTCCCCAGTTGCTTCCAAAGGGGCTCTTTTTACAGTTGTTCAGAGAACAAACAAGCTGCATAGGTGGCATTGGGTTGGGTCTTTAGCACCTGTGGGGGGGTGGGGGGGGCGGTGCTGTTCTCTATAAACTTGATGTATTGAATTGCCTGTGACTACACTCCCCCACTCATGTTTATGGGGTGTTGCTATTTTGATTTCTTTTTTTCTCTTTTTAAGGAATTTTTTTTTTCCCTTAAGTTCAGAGTGGGACTCGACGAGCTGGCGTTGAGCTTCATTTGGTGTTGTTAAGTCTCATAGGTTTAACCTAAGTTCTGGAAACTGACCCCTCTGTGTATACTTGTCTTTAAAAGCCAGGTAAAGGAAAAAAGGGGAAAGGCTCAGGCAAGCCCCGGGGGAAGAAGCCAAAGAAGCAGGAAGTGGACATTCTGAGCCCGGCGGCCATGCTGAACCTGTACTACATCGCCCACAACGTGGCCGACTGCCTGCACATGCGCGGCTTCCGGTGGCCAGGGGCCCCGAAGACCAAGAAGGGAAAAGCAAAGGTTAAGTAGCAGCGTGTCCCAGACACCCCTCTCCGAGAGAGCAGGGCTGGGGAGGAAGAATCGGGGTGCTGCAAAAAAACACAAACAAACAACCCAACAAGGAGACGTGCCAAGCGGACTGAAGACGGCTTGAGGCGCGGCTGCCGTCCGCTTCTCCAGCCATGAGAGCTGAGCAGCTGCGAGCTCCTGGGCTGGGGGCCTCAGAAGGCAGCCATTCCTGCCCAGGTGTGGAATCGGCCATCCTTTGAAAATCCCCTTACGGTTCCGGTGGGCATTAAATCTTGCTTTCGAAGGCAGTTCTGGTTTGGCTGGGTTCTTTCCTTGGCCCCAGGGGGTTTGTGCTGTAGAGCCCGAAGGGCGTCAAGCATGGGGCTTACTCACCAGCAGCCCCCTCGGGGGCACTGCTGCCCTTCCCTGCCTCCTGTTAAAGGTAAAAGAAAAAGGATTTTGTTTCTGGAATGTTCTTCCTGGCACCCTGACGCTGATTTGAATTAACTACAGATGCCAGCACCGTGGCACCCATGCTCTGCCCTGGTCTGATGAGAGAGCAGGCCAAACGCAGCCGAGTGCTGAATGCCATTGTCCTATGGACCTGCTGAATTGTATCTCTTTGTGGTGTAGTGGTTACACATCGGCCTGTGATCTGTGAGGTCAGCCTTCGAAACCAGCCAGCCGCTCTCCGGAGAAAGCTGGGATTTCCACTCCCGTAAAGAGGTTACAATCTTGAAAACTCACCTGGGCATTCCTAACCTGTCCCGTAGAGTCCGCACCGACTTGATGTCTGTGAGTTTGAGAAAGGGAATCCTAGAGGTCCCTGCCTCATCCCGAAAGAATCCCATTCTGGGCCCTTCCTTAGACATCTGGCTCCCACTCGATGATGGCATTTTCGACCAGTATCCCCAGACCACCAGTGTTGAGCTTTCCTGCAGGTGTGCAGTCAGGTGTTTGGCTGTAGTTTTACCTGGCTATGTGATATGGCATTTTTCTACACGTTGTCCTCAGAAATAAAACACATCTGATATTTCTTATCTTCAAACAAACCAACAGAGAAGGTGACAACACCCCTGGTGGGATGAGGGAAGGCAGGAGCAGACCCACCCCCATCCCTTTCTTTTGCATTTCCTCTGACTCTTCCCCGCGTGTCTCACCTGCAGGCTCTCTTTTCTACGTGGCTAATCTTGAGTCACGGAACTGGCTAGAAACTTGCCGTGGCCTGCAGCTGAGGTCCAGGGTCTCCCCAGCCCTGTGAAGAGACACTTCAGAAGTAAGACTACAGGTCTTCCTCCGCGGCCCCAGGGCCGGAAGCCCTGCTTCGTTACCTGGTGTTGCTGGGTCAGAAAGGCCACGTGTGGCAGCTCTATGGAGCAGAAATCCATCTTCTCTCAGTTTAGGGGCCTAGAAGTCACAGTTCAGGGCGTTGGCTTCTCTCTGTGGTCTTGTCCCCTGTTCAGCTTCTGTTCCTTGGTTCCTTACTGATCACGTGGTACGCATTTCCCCCTCTGTTCTTGCTCACTTACTTTCTTAGACAACTCTTTTATATCTCAGAAGAGATTGACTTAAAGCCAATGCGACCCAACACATGACCTGTTCCCCCAATGATGTTACTGCCACAGGTATGAGCTCAAGGTGCCATCAAGCCCATTCGACTCACTGCGGCCCGATAGCACAGGTAGGACTGCTGCTGTGGGTTTTCATGACTGTCACCCTTTATAGGAGTAGAAAGCCTCACCTTTCCCCCTTGGAGTGGCTGGTGGTTTGGAACTGATGACCTGGTGGTTAGCAGCCCCATGTGAGTTGCATTGCTAGGGCCCCCAACCACATGTACAGAGGTTAGGATTTCAATATGAGTTTCTGGAGAACACAATCCACAACAAGCCAATCTGGAATGTGGAATGAAACGTATGTTTAAGTACAAAGGCCGTCCCGGATTCATCACCCAGCATGGCGTGTGTCTCTGCCTTCTGCCCCTGGCCCTGGCCTGCCTCACCGCCACCAGCCCAGCCTCCGCTGACAGTTCTAGACTCAAAGCTGGTGGTTCCAGGGAGTTTCTCCTGGGAATGAAGATTGCCTGGCGAAGATCTCAGAGATGGAGCCATGTGCGAAGGGAGACTGCAGCCCAGACCCAGGATTTCATCAATACCGGAGAAAAACGGAAATGACCTGAATCTTTGGGCTCCCTTGGGCCCCTGTGAGTTCATTGGGATGGCACTAGTACCGATGCCCTCGGCAAATTCGCTCTGCAGTAGTGGTGTCCAGCCCAGGAGGTGCGGCTCAAGAACGTGCCTTTTGGCCAGTTCCGGGGGGGCTCTGTTGGTGCTGCTGGACCTGCAGACTCTTGCCTGAGCCGGCCATCAGTTTCCTGTTGGGAAGATGGCTCTAGCATCGCTCCCTTCCCGCTGTCTCCAGCAGAAAGCTTTATTTAGGAGGCTCCGGGCAGGTGTCCATCGGTAAGTATCCCCACAGGCGAGGGGGTCCAGCCATCTGCAAGTGGAAAGCCCGGCTGCTTTAGAGGACCGAGACTGGAACAGATGGCAGGCCCTGGAGTGCAGGAAGCACTGATCTGCTTGGCCGGGTTTTGCACCCCTTTTTTAGCAGACTGGCTAACGGCGCTGTGGGGATCATGCTCATTGGAACCCTGGGTTCTGAGAGGAGCCCCTAGGCAGTTGGGATTCAAGTCGCCGTGCTGTAGTGGAAGTCTAGCATAGGACACTAACTATCACATGTGGGCTGTACAAAAGTTGTGACAGTTTACATTTCGAGAAAAAAACTTTTTATTGGGGAGTGAGTCTCTAGATACGAAACTTCTTTTAACGAAACCATCCCATTTCAGCACATGTATTCAGCACGACTTTACTTACACTAGGAGAATAAGTCAGGGCCCCTGCTCTCAAGGAGTCCTCAGCCTGGTGAAGTGGACTGATACCCAGATTCCAGCTCAATGGACAGCACTTACAGTTTGTCTCTATGTTTCTATGCACCATGATTGTAGAGCCTGGAAGGCTGAGGTCCCGGGGCTAGACCAGCAGACTGGAAACTCGGGTAGGAGTTTGTGCTACAGCCTTGAGGAACACTATCCCCTGCCCCAGGAGCCTCCGATTTTAAGATCTTCAGCTGGTTGGACGAGGCCCACCCACATTATCCCTTTTCTCTGGAAGTCAAGTGACTGTAGATCTTACCTGTATTTACAAAATACCTTCACAACATGAACCTAGATGTGTGTTTGATTAAATGACTGGTACTATCGCTGAGCCAAGTTGACACATCACAACATCTGTAGGACATTTGATGGTGAAAGGGACCCTTCCAGCTCCCCGGGCTTGAGGCTCCAGAGAAGAGCTTGGGGCAGGGGCAGTTACAGGAAAGCCCCTACGGTCCTAGCGTGGACAAACCCAGTGCTGTCCGGAAGCAAGGATTACGGTGAAGGCTCATCCCGAGACTGCAGGGGCTCTGTGAGAGAAAGGCTCTATTTGAGGGTAGGGCGGGGAGCAGGACCCAAAGGCAGTTAAGAAGTGGGGTGGGGAGAGACTGGGGGATGAGATCAGCAAGTTCAGGAGTAGGGAAATGCCCGCTGAAGAGAAGGAAGGCTTGGCAATAACATGGGGGTGGAGGACAGTTTTCAAATGGAAATACCCCTGCAAAACGGATGACGTAAACAATACAGCAAGTGCTGGCAAGGCTGTGGAGAGTCTGAAACTCACATACTTGTCAGTGGGAATGTAGATGGTGCAACCCCTGTAGAAAAAACATCACCATTTCCTCCACACGCTCAACACAGTGTTCTCACGATCCAGCTACTCAATTCTAAGGCGTATTCCCAAGAGTACTAGGAACAAAGACTTGTACCCCACATGGTATTATGCATTAAGAGTGAAAACAACAAAAATGGCCATCGATGATAAATGGATAAACAAAAACCAATGATAAATGGATAAAAAACACAGCCAAAAAACTCATTTCTGTCTAGTGGATGCCGACTAGTAGTAACCCTGTAAGACAGAGTAGAACTGCCCTTGGCAGTTACCGAGACTAACTCTAGGAGTAGAAAGCCCCATCTTTCAAGGAGCAGCTGGTGGTTTCGAACTGCCGACCTTGCCATTAGCAGCCCAATGCATAACCACCTCGCTGCCCAAGCTCCTGGTATATCCATGCAGTGGAAAATGATTTGCCAATACAAAAGAATGAAATGCTGTACATGCTACATACAGCGTGGATGGACCTTGAGAACATTAAGCTAAGTGAGAATAAGGTCACATTTTATATGATTTCATTTCTGTGACCTGTCCAGACCTGGCAGATCAGAGGGAATCAGAGGGAAACAGGAAGTGAATGGAGGGGCTGCTTTGGGGGCTGAGGAAATGTTCTGGAATGAGACCATGGTGACAGTTGTACAACCTTGTGAACACATTAAAATCCACATAATAGCACTCTTAAAATTTTTATGGTACGTGAATTATATCTCAAAAACATTTTAAAGAAAATGCCAGTGTGCCTGGTAACAGCTAGAAACGGCCCTGAAATCATGGGAGATAGGCACGAATAGCAAGTGGCAGAGTGGCCAGCCCCCACAGAGAAGGGACGGGGCATTTTGCCTAGCTGTTCCACTGACCCGCCCCCCCCCTGTTATTTTTTAAGCATCTTGAGGCAAATCCCTGCCGTGCCAGCTCATCATGGAGGACTTAAACCTCCACATTCTTTTTAAGCTTGTCATCTTATTTATTGAACGAGGTTTCCATTATGAATTAAGTGGGGTTTACACTTCAGATCAGCCACTCTGCACTCAATACAAGCAGGTCATTTTAGATTCAAATCTCACCTCGGGAGTGTTCTGCCTGTGATTTTATTGACTCAGTGGGAGCCCCTGGGTCGTGCAAACCAGCAACGAGCTCCGAAGCGAACAAAAGCCCCGCCTGCAGGACCTCAAATGAAAGGCCTGATGACGGTCCCCCCAAGGTCACAGCCATGGAAACTGGTCTGAGCACACAGAGGGGAGGTCGCCGTGGGTCCCAGCCGCCTCCATGGCAACCTCTGGTTTTAATCAAGTGTCAATATAGTAAGTACACTTTTTTTTTTAATCCAAATTTTTTTCTTCAAAGAAGAAATCAACGGAAACTCTAGTGCAGTGATTATCAACCTTCCTCATGCCGTGGCCCTTTAGTACAGTTCCTGATGTGGTGGTGACCCCCCAACCATAAAATTATTTTTGTTGCTACTTCATTACTGTCATGTTGCTTCTGTGACGAATCGGGCGACCCCTGTGAAAGCGACGTTCGACCCCCCAAAGGGGTCGCAACCCACA